GCCTTAATTACTTTTCTTTCTTTTGTTAATCAGTTGATAAGAAAATTTTGTAGTTCAGTTAAACTTACAAATATCGACAATACTTTTCTTTTATTTATCAGTTTAAAAAAGATTAATATAGAAAAGTTGTAGATTTAGCTAAAAATCTGAATTTTGATATTTGAAATTCTTTTGCTAAGTTATCCTATACACATTTTAAATAGATGTAATTAAGAGAGCAGGATTTGCTGAAGAATGAAATATGTGTTAGGTTTTTATGCAAAGGTGGCTGGTAAACTCGGCATAGAGATATTTTTAAATTTGTGTTTTAAAAAAATTTGTTAATTCTACTTATGCTAAGAAGCAGCAAAATTTTAGTTGTATAAAAACTCGTAAACTGATGGCTCGAGAAAAATGATTATCAAAGGGTATAAGGAGTGATCACTGTTTATCAGCAGATAATCAGAAGGTAGGACTCGGGAATGGAGTCAGTGTAGCGCTGATACAGATGAATAATCAGCTAAATCTTGAAATCTGTTAAAGAACTGCAAAAAACGCTTGTTAAGTAGAACACATTTTCTTGACTTTCTACCTTTTCTTTTTCTCATTAGAATAACGTTTTGTTAGAGCGATTGCCGGATGGTGAAATTTTTTCAGTTCGCAATTTTTAAGCGAAACCTCGTGGCTCCAAGTTTCATTCAGCGTTTTATCGTAAAAGGTTCAGAAGTACAGTTTACGAGTTTACGTGGCTAAATTTTTAACAACAGTAAAAAATCAACACACAGTAAAAAAGTGGTAACTTAGAAAAACTATGCAGCTTTGAAGAAAACGTTACTGTACCAAAAATTTTGCACCGCAAGATTTTCACCTGCTTTGTAAAGACGCTTGAATAATTGAACTCAGAATCAAAATGTCTTTACAATCTTGCTTATGATAACACATACGCACAAACAAAGTTTCTTCTTATTTGTTGAGGCAGTCCTCTTTGCGAGTAATTTTTTGTTGGTAGGTCATCATTTGAGAAAGGTCCGAAAGGGACGCTTCAGATGGAGTTCCTCATATAAGATGAAAAAATGGTTGAGAGAAAAAAATATAGAGAAGAAGACAAGGTAAAAATTATTCTCTTACGAAATCTAAAACGCATTTTTACCTGTTTGTTCTGTATGTTTGGTATTAATTTAATAAGAAATTGAGAATTTTTTTAAGTATTCGAAAATGTAAAATCTACTTTTTTTTTATAATTCTGTAATTTGACTGCCTTTATTGTCTATTGACCTAAAGTTGTCTCTTTGCTAGAAAGCAATTTTTACCATGAACTGTGTCGGTAACCGAAATCTCCGGAGTCAAGCCTAATCCTTAAATGGGTAACACCCTTGTAGGTGATTTCGCTGAGGGTTTGTGTGAGCGACATTGCTCAAATGAAAAGGCTTCAGTGCGTGAATGTCAATTTCAGAAACTTTTGTAGTTTGCAAAATCAAATCTTTTGAAAATCTTTTTTGCTCGCACTTCTTCCACATGCCGTTTGCAAATTTTCTGATTCTGCTGTATTCACTTGTCGTGACATTAAAGTGTCTACTCAGTTTCTGCCTAACTTTTATCTGAAAATTTAAATTTACACAAATGTATCACACTAATACAGAAAGTGGCTTTCTATGAAAACAAACAGATCGCAAAGGTACTTGTTAATAAGAGTATTTTGGAAAATAGTGACAACGAATGCATAAATATTGTAAGAGTGAGTAGAAGTGTGCTGGGTATAAGAAAAAATAGGAAATAATTCATGCTTATGACAGCATCTGCTAAGAACTTATCTAGCGCTCTTCTGCTAAGGCTGTACTTCTTTATTTGAACTTTTACCATTGGTCTTATACGCAATATACGGGTTTGGGCGTTGTCGGCGGTGTTATTCAATAACCGTATCTTAGACTCTAAGAGAAAATAATCTCCGCACTTGCTTTAAACTAAAATTTCGGAAATGAAAGGAACGAGCGCTATCCTTACTGCTACGGAAGGATACCTCCAGGGAGGCTCTTGGGGAGAATATTGTCTATACCCAATGGAAGACAAGGTTCTATAACAATTTCAGCACCAATCACGCAAATAGGTTTCTCTGCTATGAGCATGAGCATTTTTGTGAGACCAACAAAGCTGACCGCTGGAGGAGTTTCTTTGTTCGGGGTAGTATCAGTCATGTCGTTCGGTAAACCTCACTGCAGTTTATTAATAAGGAAGATTTGAGGGTGCTGCCGTGAAAAACAAAAAAATGTGGTTATTATCGTCGGATGTGGTTGAGTTTAGTGTCTCGGACGTCACAGTGTGGTGGTTTAACGTCTTTGTGAACAGTTTTTCAACGACTAAAGATTACCAGACCAATGAAAGTTTGAATTCGATTTTCGCCTGTAAAAAAATTTTTTAAATTATTTTTTTTTAATATATAGCTTTGTTTCAGTATTCGTTCTACATTATTCAATTTAACATTTAATAAAGGCATAAAAACAATTCTTTTGCAACATGTTACGCTTAACAGAGCTGAAAGAAAAAAAAGAAAAAAACTTTAATGTTAAGTACTTTTTAATTTAGACAAGAATAAATCTTAGAAAATGAAAAAAAGAAAGAAAAATTTTTAGCGGTTTTATGAAAAGTAGCAAAAAAAAGAAGATGGAAGCAAATAAACCAAATCCCTTGAATAAGCAAAAAAACCGAAATTTAACCTTGGTCTTGTAGTATGTACGGGAAAAACTGCTTTCATAAGCGAAATAGAATGAAGAAAGCAAAGTTTGGAGATGGAGGAAAATAAATAATCAGGATTACAAGTTTTTATACTTCAGTCTTTAATTTTTCTACTCTAATTCTTTTTTTTATTTTATTTTATTTTTTGAAGTAGTTTTTGTTTTTTCATTTTTTTTTTCTTTCTTTTATTTCAAGTGAAAAGAAAGATAAATTTTCTTTGGAAATTGAAAGGTTTTAAGCAAGCGTTAAGAAAATTTTTAGGTTTAAAAAGATGTGAGAAAAGTCTGGAAACGGACTTACAAAGTACGTAGGATTTTTAAAAAGCGAAAAGGAGAGTAACGAAACAGAGCAGGAGAGGAATATCAGGAAAGGCTTAAGGAAACAAAACGTAAGAAGAAGTATGGAAAGTATGGAAACTAAATAGGCAGCAAAGAGCAGCAGTTGAAAACAGGAAAGTAAAGGAATAAAAGAGTGATATTAGAAGGAAACCTTTTTACGTAAATGAAACAGAAGAGAATAATTGGAGAAAAATAAAATGGAAGAAAAAAGCATTTCTTAGTTCTCGGCATTTGTATGCTAAAAGCAAAAAGATTTTCCTTGCTTTTTATTTTACACTTCCTGAAAAAAGATTGAAAGAAAAAATTAATTGT